ACCTCCCCATGCAGCAAGATCCTCATCCCTAGTTAATGGGGGAAGCGCCGGATCCAAGTTCACACTTAACCAGGTCAGTCCAATCTAAAAGAGAATGTGCTAAGCCAGGCATGGTGGTACACATCTGTACTCTTAGCTACTTGGGAGGCTAAGGCGGGAAGATTGCAAGTTCAAGGTCATCGTAGGCAACTTGGCAAGACCCTGTCTCAAAATAAAATTTTAAAAAGGGGATGGGGATGTAGCTTAGTGGAAGAGCACTTGCCTAGCATGGAAGGCCCTGGTTCCATCCCCAGCACCGAAAACAAAAACAACTAATGATTTAGGTAAATGACATTTATTAAACACAGCACCTTATGAATCCCTCCACAATTTTAAAGATCTTGAGAAAAATGACAGCACCAGTTGATGCACATGGAGTAGTTACTCTGGCAAGCCTGTCCCTGAACACAGGCAGGGTACTGAGTGAGGACATTTCCTGTTGATCATAGTCTGGCCACTGGGCCCAAAGCTGAGGATCAGGGAGAGGTAAAAAGCCATCAACAACTGGGACCCAATACCTCCCCAGGAGCTATAGGAAGCCAAGACCTGGTTCTGCAGTGTCCACACGTTCACTGTTCCCAGACTCCAAAGGGAAAAGATTCAGGGGAGAGGGAGACATTGGCTGAGTGGAGAGAGCTATGGATTTTGCTGCCCTTCCTCCCTCCCCTTTGGCCTCAGCTTGCAAGCTGAGAGGGATGGCTGCCCGGAGAGGCCTCGCAGTGTGAGCACCTCTGCAGGAGGATCAGGGTGGATCTGCATCCTGAGCCCCAGTGAGGGTGCAGAATACACACAGTGCAGTGAGTGTGGTGAGGCTGCAGGTGTCCGCCCAGCTTCTCCAGGCCACCAGTGTCCTCTCTACTCCCATCCACAAGCAAGCTGGAGGTGCCCAGGGCACTGAGGCTCCTGGGAGCACCCTGGAAACCATGTGTGGTGGGAGCCAGTGGACACATACCCTGCTCCCTCCCCTCTCCAGCCCGCTGACCCGGGCTCCCTGGAGGATGAACTTCTGCGGCTCCCCGACAGGACAGGGCGCCTTTGAAATAACACACCCTTTCCTTTCCTTTTCCCCTTCCCTTCTGTTTCGCCATTCTGTCCCCTCTGAGAAAACACGTGCATTGAAACTGTTGTCATGAGGTTTGTTTGTAGGGAAGCCCAAGCTAGGATGACAGATGTCAGTCCTATGGGTCGCCGGTCACCCAAGAAGATGGCTGGGTCAGAAACAATACATACAGACTCCACTTCCTAAGCCACGGGGCCCAGAGTCCTGGACACCCAATATCTAAAGGTTTCCTTCGGCCAGAGCAATTTCAGGTGAAAGCAATCTTCAGAAACATAAATATCCAGCCCTCCAGTGCACAAATACCACTTTTGACTGAACGTATTTTCTTCTTTGGGGGACCAAATCAAACATTCCTCCTCAGCAGTCAATCAGGTTTTGTCATACAAGACTCTATACCCAAGCTGGGCACTGTGGTGTATGTCTATAATCCCAGCACTTTGGGAAGCTCAGGCAGGAAGAGCACAAGTTCCAGCCCAGAATGGGGACTTTACAAACACAGGGGGCCCTGTCTCAAAATAAAAGATTTAAAAAGGGCTGGGTTTGGAACTCAGCGTGCAGGCCCTGGGTTCCATCCCCATACCAACAGCAACAAAAAGTTTCTATACCCAGACATGACCCAGAATTGTTGCCATGAACTTTGAAGAGCACGCTAACTTGAGTATGCTCCTTCCCACACGGCTCTGTTCCATGCCATCCCAATGGCAGCCGGTCACTGGGTGTCCACTGTATGGCAGGCATTTGCCCAGCTCAGGCCCACACCAGCTGTGTCACCTCATTCCGCCACCACCAGTCCAACCCTTGAGTGCCAAGGCCAAGCTCCAGACCCACGCCTGTTCAACAGCCAAACCCCTCTGCCCTCAAGCATCCCCAGTGCTCTCGGCATGAAGTCCAGAGTCCTGACCTGAGCTCCTCCCCACACCCCGGCTAAAGTGCAGACACATGTATACCCGAGGCTCAGGACACCTGAGCCAGTGAGGCTGAGGTCTGGGAACCTATGGTCTCCACTCTTAGGGGGATACTGACGCTTGTTACAGAGAACGGCTGCAGTAGTGGAAACTCCCCTTCTGTTTGCAGCCCCCCAAAGTGGGGTTCAACGGGGACCAGCGATGCATTCCAAAGCTGGCCACTTGTCACCGCTACCCCACACTGGATACAGACTGTCATCACCTCTTGCCCAAAGGTAGCAATTACACTTAATGGGTGCCCTGTCTCCCCTTGTCTTTTGCTCCCAACAGTTTCTTATGAACATTTTCAAATACAGAAAAGCTGAAAGAACCCTAGTGAACACCCTTAGCTGTATCACCCAGATTCTACATTGTGCAGTTATTGCTACTCATAATTTTACTTATTTTTAAATATGCTATTTTTGCATTATTGCATACTTATCTATCCATCTCTCCAGAGGTCTTTTTCAAAGGCGCTTCAAAGTACTGCAGATATCAGTACATTTCCCCCTTGTCTTCCTCATTTGGGATCCCATCATAAAAATACTATATACTGGATGGCTGATAAATAACAGAAATGTATTTCTCACATCCTAGAGGCTTAGGAGTCCAAGGTTGATGCACTGGAAGATTTGGCCTATGGTGAAGGCTCTCACTGTCGCACAGAGGAATGAGAAGGTGGCTCTCTGGGGACACTCACAAAGGCACAGTGTCAGGAGCAGTCAGGAACCTTTCTACTCCTTGCCTTCCCAGTTTGATATTCACCAAGTGTTATTACCACGTAGCACTCAGGGACACGACAGACTGCAGCCTTGCTCTGAAGAGGCGCAGGACAGACCATGTGCCCCCCTAACAACCAGAACTGCCAATGTCACAGGCTTACCAACCACCAGGCCCTCTGACAAGGTGAGGGTGTGAACACCTGGCTTCACACCCCGACAGTGGGGTCACACCTCCACTCCACCTGGGAGGAAGCAGAGGGCCTCAGCGCACAGTCAGGACGTGGCGGGGTGGCTGGGCCCGAGGCTGCTGGTGGCAATGTCACCACACGGCTCCCCTGGGAAGGGGTCTCTTACCAGCTGCATGGAGGTAAAGTTCCCCTCCCCTAGGTTTCTCCATCTCCCACCCCTGTGTCTGCACCAGGCCTGGGAAGGAGGGGAGGGAGGTGGGAAGAGAAGAAGTAAGGGAGAGAGGAAACCTAATTGCAGCAGTGTGCCGGGAAGGCTTTGCTAAGAAGGTACCATCCAAGCGAAGACGTAAAGCAGGCCAGATGTATGGACATCAGAATCTTTGCATCTCCTGCAAGGAAGAACAGAACCTTGCAAGCTGTAAGTTACTGTGTCCTTTACGCCATAAGATTTTAGAAGGCTGAGACAGGTCCTTCCTTAAAGGGCCAGTGGGGTCAGATATCCCGGAAGAGGCACAGAAAGCAGGCGACCTCTCTGGCTGGAGTGACTGGAAGGAAGGCAGTGGGGGCTGGGACAATGGCGGATCCTGCCAACACCTGCCGCCCGCCCCTCTCCCACCCTGCTTCAGCACACACGGGCTGGCATCCAGCAGCACCTCATGCACCATTTCATATCTGCCAGGGACGCGGGCCGGAAGGGGCAGGGACTTCATCTCTGACTCCTAGCAGCCTTATGCCCTGATGGGAGGAGAGGGTGTCTATGCAAACAAACAGCCTGGCTCCCTCACCCGCCGCCGGCCCGTGCTCTCAGGCTTAAGGACCATCACCGCCCACCGCCGTGAGAGCCAACTCTACTGCACAGCCTTTGCGTGACTTTCCGGCTCCGTCCTGCTGCATCCTACTGGTGTCACCTTGCTGATAAATGATGTCCTTTGCCTCAGAGTCTTCAGAGAATTCAATCCAAGAGAGGGATAGATATCTTTGAAGATCTGTCTCTCTCTCTCTCACACACACACACACACACACACACACACACACACACACACGCACACCACACACACTGTCTTCTAGTGAAACCGTCCCTTTTGGGCCTCATGTTTAAAACCTGCAAACAGGTACTAATAAAAAATTTAAAAATTAAAAATAAATGAACAAAACCTGTACCCGGCACTCAGTTGTATAGCATGTGTTTAGCAAATATAAAGCCCTGGTTCCATCTCTGGCTCTAAGAAAAAAAACAAACAAGAAATTGTGCCCCTACATGTGGCACTGGGTCATAAATCCCGGACCAAGAGACACACCTTTGACTTGTACCTAGTGTGCCCGTGTAAAATAACCTGCCTGCGTCACAGGGGACTGCTCACCATGTGCCAGGCCAGAGGGCCTTCTTACGGCTGAAGCTTTCCCCCCAGTGCCCACAGCAGGTAGCCCACTGGGGACACAGCCAGGCCCAGGGTGACTTCCCCAGCAGCCGCTGGCACTGCCCTGGGCTCACAGGGGAAGGAGGGCCGATCTAACAATCTGCCTGAGGAACATCCACGCATCCCCCGGTCCTCCTGCCCTCACTTTCTGCCAAATCAGCTGCTGAAAGTCAAAATGACTGACAGCTTTATACCCTGTACAATCATTCTCCTGATTAAATAACTCAGTGTCTGTGACAGAACAGCTCCCGGAGTGGTGGCGGTTACATGAATGTATATATGTGATATGATTTCACAGAAACACGTGCATGTACACACACACACACACACACACACACACACAGCCAGCAGTGCACATGAAAACCAGTGAAATCTGAACCAGGCCCAGCCTAGTTTCCAATGTCTACTTCCTGGTGTGGCTAATGTACTTTGGGGTGTAAGATGTCATCCTTGGGGGATGAAGAAGACACGAGGACTCTGCTATTTTTGCAACTTCTTATGAGCCAAAAATCATTTTAGTATAAAAAAGTTTTATAATTCAAAAAAAACTTTTTAAATAGTAAAATGAAATAAAAACGACCATTCCGCAGTAAAGCCTGCAGGAGGAGACACCTCAAAGCCAGCCTTACCTGTGAGCTGGGAATCAGCGCCTTCCACCAGTGCCCGCCCTTTACCAGGTCCACTTCGCACAAAGGCACGGACACTTTGCCAATGACACAGTGGCGTGAGAACTTATCAAAGTCCACCACGGTCAGGAGCAGGGTCCTCCTCTGGGCTTCTAGGAAGGGGATCTCGAAGGTGTAGCGCTCCTCAAACACAGGCTTCTGGGTCTTGCGCTTGACCCCCGTCTGCTTAGAGTTCTTCTGGTCGGGCAGCAGGCAGATCTTGACGTAGGGGTTGGAGTGCGCCATGTCCTGGCGTGAGCCGTCTTGGGCGATGGGGGGCGGCAGGTCCCGGGCCTCGATGACCCTGACAGTGAGGTGATTGTGCAGCAGGTCATACTGTGTGCTGAAGTGGAGCATGCCCAGTTGGTACTTGGACAGGATCTCCTCATCAGTCAGAGAGTCCACGTCATCGCTGCTGGAGTCGAGGGAGTAGAGCTGGGGCTCGAACTTCCTGAAGTAGTCATCCGGGGTGTAGGTCCGCCGGAGTACCGAGGGCTGGATTGGCTCCTTCTTGGCACTGAGGATGCCAAACTCGATAGGTTTGATATCGATGAGCGGGGAGCTGGGCCGTCGAGACTCAAGACCTAAACAGAGGCAGAAACAGTGGTGAGCATCACTCCCTAGGCCATACGGTGACATCGGCAACCCCGACAGGTACTCATGGTTCCTCTGCTGCAAAATCCTCTTCTTCCCTGTCCACTGGGAACCAGTCACCCCTAAATCCATGGGGTTGATTCCAGGACCCCCATGGACACCAAAAATAGGAGGATGCCCAGGCGCTTTATATACGATGGCACAGTATTTACATATAATGTGCACACATCCTCCCATACACTTTAAATCATCTCTAGATTACTTGTAATCTCTAATGCCATGCCAATGCTTTGTAATTACTTGTTCTATTCTATCATGTAGAGAATAGTGACAAGAAATACATCTGTACATTTTCAGGGCAGAAGCATTTTTTCCCTGGAGTATTTCTGATCACTATTGGTTGAACTGGAGGATGCAGAACCATGGATACAGCGAGCTGACTGCACTCTGATTTGTGTGTCTGCATTACCATCGCTGTCACCATCATCCACTGTTCTAAATGGACTTCATGTCCTCAGCTGTCCAATTTCACAACTCCTTTGATCATGAGGTGATTCCTGTTATCCCCACTGTGCAGACAGGGAGAGAAAAACTTCAAGTCACTTCCAAAGGTCTCACCCTTAGAAGTAGAGGTAGCATGTGTCAAGCCTGGCTTGTCTGGCTGTCACCATCACCTTGTGCTGCCTCCACTGCGAAGGGCTGGACCTCAAGGCCATGTGCCTGGGTCAAATTCCAACTCAGCTACTTATTCATGAGCCCTGTGACTCCAAGCACATGATGTAGACTTCTCTGGATCTCAGTTTCCCTGTTCTGTAAAATAGTAATGACACCTGCTTCAAAGTCAGTGGTGAGGATTCACCCAGCCAACGCATGGAAAGGACCTGGCACAGAATGTGCACAGAGCAAGAACTCAATAAATGGCAATAACTGCACCTCTTAAGGGTCCTATTCGAACCTCATGGCTCAAAGGCTGCCTCTCCCTCTTCACCAGCCAGCACCCATCACTCTAGTCTTTGCTCCTCCCCTATTCTGACAATGAGCTCGAGGCATTATTGTTCATTGCCCAAACATCTGTCTTGCCAGCTGACGTCATGAGACTTGCCTGATATATAAGAGGTGCACTGATAAACATGAGATGAAAAAACCACCTGTGTTCAGAGCCAGGAACAAGATGGAAATCATCTAGAGCAGTACCACCCACAGAAATACAACGCACACCAGCAATGCAAGCCACATAGGTAACTTAAAACGTTCCCCAACTCACAACTTGTAAAATGTGCAAAAAAAATAGGTGCGATTTAATGTAAATAGTTGATTTTATTTGACCTACTAAGTTGAATGTCCTTAATCCAAAAATACAAAATGCTCCCAAATCCAAGACTTTTTTGAGTGCTGATACTGATGCCCCAGGGAAAAAGCCACCCCAACCTCGTGTGGCAGGTGGCAGCCAAAATACAGGTGCATTCAAAATATTATATACTTTCAGGCTGTGCACAGAAGGTCCGAAACACAGATGACTTTCATGTTTAGATGTGGGTCTTGTGCCCAAGATATTTTAGGGTGCATATGCAAATATTCTAAAATCCAAAATCTAAAATGTTTCTAGTCTCAAGCGTAAGGGATACTCAATCTGTACATCCAAAGTATTATCATCTTGATAGGCAATAAAAAAAAAACATTTTAGTGAGATACTTTAAATTCTCTTTTTCCTAAGTCCAGTGTGTGCTCTACACACCATCTCTCCACCTGGCCCAACACCACTTAAGTGCCAACAGCTGCGTGTGACTGACTGCGCGTGACGGGATGGTGCAGGTATAGGATGGACCTCTCATTTCACAGAAAGAACAAGACCTCAAGAAGACCAACATCCCCTCAGTCCCCCTACCTGAGGCCCCAGAATTTTCCTCCTTCCTTCCCCATCTGCTTAGGGAAACTTAGATACTGAGCATCTCCACCTGAGTGGATGAGTCTCATGGATCTGAAGCACTTCCCCCCCGCTAAGTGAATCTCAGACATCAGCTCAGTGAGCCAGCAAACACTTCTGTGGTGTGACAGAGGCTGGAGTCCCTGGTCCGCATCCTCTCGCCTCCCCGCTCAAATCCTGCCATTTGGTCAAACACATATGCCACACAACTCAGCAAAGTAGGTGGCCAAATTGGACTCACATATATATTTTGTTTAGGTTGAAAGGTAAGGAATTTTCATTTACAATTCCAGATTGCCAGTTTCTCTTTGGAAAGATCAGACAACACTGGGCCCATAATCCCATACAGCCACCCATGGCTAGGCTGGAGTGGCAGCCACCTGGTGCCTGTGGATGGGACTTAAACTTTCCAGCTGGCACAGTCACCGCGCCACCTCGTACCTCTCCACACAGAACATCAGCTGCCATCCGTCCCTGCATGAGGGTAGTGTCTTATCTCTACCCAACCCTCTGTGCCCAGCAAGGACACGCCCAGGGGCTCTAGTGTATAACAAGGTAGCAGGCTCTGAAATAACACACATGACAGTGTCTGCCCATTTAGCCAATTAAACTTGTGATCCATAAAGGCATAAATCAATCAAAAGGATCACTTTTGACTGACCTCAGCAGAAATCACGTGGTTGGACACAACCCTCTGTCATGGCCACTGTCTCTTTGTCACCTGTGTCCTGGACTGTTCCCCCACTTCATCTCCGGCGCCCACCAACCCTGCCCTTCACATCCCTGCTGGGAGACGCTGATGAAGTCTGGGAGAGCCCACCAGGCCCAGACCGTCCCAGCACACACTCACTGGAAATCCTCCGGGTCAGGCTGTACGTGGACTTGGATGTGTCTGAGGATGAGCGCCTCCCATCCGGGGAGCTGGTCCGCGGAGTGAGCGGGACGTCGCTGGCCGTGTGGACAGAGTCGCCGTCCTTGTCACCGCTCCGGCTGGCTATCCTGCGGTGGGAGGGACAGTCTCAGTGGCAGGCAAGGGATCCCAAGGGATATATCCGCGTCCCTACCACGGTCCCTGCCCCTCCATCGGCTCCCTACACCTTGGCGACCAGGGGCTGAAGGCAAGCAGAGCAAACATGCAGCGGCGGTGCACAGGGACTGGACCCCGTGCTGTAAGATCCGCGACACCAAGCTCTCAGGGCCCTGGTGCAACTTGGAACAATGTAAATTTGCAGTAGTGCCGCATCCTTAAACTCAAAAATGTCAGCCTTCTGCACAAAACATACAGGGGTACAAAGGAAGATTTCCGGGTTTCGAGTGGTCAGCCCAGGACCTGCGTGACCTCCTGGAGGGAGGTGTGGGCACAGTTGGGCTGTTGCACTTGGGGGTGCCACGGTAGCCAAGGGGAGGCCTGTCAGTCTCCAGTCTGGAATGAACCTTGGCTGTTGATATGCATCCAAACTTCTGCGTGGAGTGATCGTGTCCATAATTTCACATCTTTTAAAAATGTTCTATAATAAGGTCACTCGAGCAGGGGATGTAGCTCAGTGGTGCCGCACCTGCCTGGCAAGTGCAAGGTCCCAAGTTCGACCCCTGGTTCCGCAAAAAAAACAAAACAACAAAAAAATAATGTCACTCAAGGGCTCTTTGAGTGCCAGGGAGACAGCTACAAAATGACCCTGGGAATCAATGATTTAAGAACAGAAACTTGATGTAGGGAAACAGCTGTGAATTAGCAGCAGCAGTGGCTGGGACTCAGTGGACCCCCAGAGAAGACAAGAGATGCCGAGAGGCTGGGGAGGGGAAGCAGACAAGGGAGGAGATGACACACGGAAGTAGTTAAGAGCATAGTCTTTGGGCTGGAACTCCGACTGGGGAACCCCGGGCAAGTCCTTCCCTTCTCTCTGCCTCCGTTTCCCCACCTGTACTTCTGTCCATACCAAATGAGTTATCAAATATAAAATGCTAGAACAAAGCTGGGCGAGGTGAAGCAGGCCTGTAATCCCAGTGTTCTGGGAGGCTGAGGCAGGAGGACTGCAAGTTTGAGCCCATCCTGGACAACTTAGTGAGACTCTGTCTTTAAAAATAAGAAGGACTGGGAGTACAGCTCAGTGGGAAGGCCCTGGGTTCAAGCCCCAGTACCACTGGAAAAAAAAAATAGCTAGAACAGTGCTTGGTGTTGCCACTGATATACAACAGGGGCGGCTTTCAGGTCCTCCAAATTCTCATCGCGCCCGGCAGGGATGCTGGGGAAGGGAAGGGGTGATGCAGGCATGAGATGCTGCCGCTAACGCGCTGGAGCTGCAGTGGCTGCAGATTTACGGTTGCCAGACTGTGTCCCCTCAACTTGACATTTGAGCCTGTGGGAAACTCAGCTTGAAAAGTGCAAGTTTTGCCTTCTGTGAGGTCTTCAGATGCATCCTGTGCATGAAATGACACTGGTCTGTTGTGCTTTCAAAGTGACAGCAGGTCATGGCCAGGACAAGCCTGGAGCCACCGTAAGAGAGAATGGAACGTTTGCTTGCTATCTGCTCCTGGCCTGAGAAGGTGCAGGGGAGTGGGGGCCAGGCATGGGACCCAACTGACCATTCTCTCCCTGAAAGGGAGGAGCAGCTACCGAGCATGGTGGGCACACCTGCAATCCCAGCACTCTGGGAGGCTGAGCCAGAAGGTTCCAAGTTCAAGCCCAGCCTGTTAAAAGCTTAGCAAGACCTTGTCTTGGAAGGAAGGAAGGAAGGAGGGAGGGAGGTAGGGAGGGAGGGAGGGAGGGAGGGAGAGAAGGAGGGAAGGAGGGAAGGAGGGAAGGAGAGAGAGAGAGCACATGAAGGGAAGAAGGGAGGGAAAACAGAAAGCAAAGAGCAGCAGCACCTCTCAAAGAAGGCAGAACCCAAACATCATGGCCTCTGGGGCACCTGTCCCATGTGACCCGCTTCCTAGCTACCAGGCTGACTCTGTGGCAGCCAACCCTGCCGAGAGTCCCACCAGCCTTCCAGGATGAGCTTAAATGTCACCGACGCTGTCAGGTGCCGGGCCGCCCCGCCCTGCCTCCACCACCCTGCACCATGCTGTCCCCTCTGCCCAGGCGCCCTTCCGGCCCCTCCATCTGTCTGGTTCCTTCTCGTCACTCAGGTCTCTGCCTCAGAGGGTCCCGACCTGTCCCCGTCAGCTCCCCCTTTCCTCCCCTCCCTCCTGCACACCCTGTCATCTGCCCAGCTCCCACGGCCTGCCCGGCCTGCGCGGTGCCTTTGCGCACGATGCCCTGCATCTTCTCACCGAATGAACGAATGCACCCTCCTCGTGGTTCTGAGCCAATTCATGCTGCCACAATTATCTGAGAGCTCGTCTTGTCATCCCTCACACACGGCGCACACTTTCTTTTGTGGCCGGGGACTGAACCGAAGGCCTCGGCCCTGAGCTACGTGCCCACTCTTTTTTTTTTTTTAACTTAGAAATGGGATCTTGCTAGTAGCCCCGGCCGGGCTTGAACTTGTGATCTTCCTCCCTCAGCCTCCCAGAGTGCTGGGATTACAGGCGTGCACCACTTGACTTGACGCCTGGCCCGGGATGCACTTCTGGATGATGGTTTGCACACTTGTTAGGATCAAAGGCATCGGGCACAGCGCACCTGCAAGTTGCCAGGCACCGTGCTAAACGCCCCATACGCATCATCTCATTTCACCCTTCAATCGACCCAGAGCCGGCTCTCGCGAGCCCTTGCAGAGGGAGTGGCAACCCGGGGTGGGCTGGGGAGGCAGGGACAGCTGACCTGCACCACTGTGCCGTGGCAGTGACACTGCAGCAGGGACAGCAACTCCCGCCATGGGCCCTAAAAGCGTGCACACACTAGGGCTCAATACGGGCTCGCTCCTACAAATAAACAGCTGGCCCTCACTCACTCTTTAACAACGGTCCTTCCGGTCCTTCGGCCTTCACCCAAAAGGAGCCAGTTAACTGGGCGTGGTGGGGCACACCTGTGATCCAGTTACTCTGGAGCCTGAGCCCGGAGGACTGCAAGTTCAAGGCCAGCCTGAGCACCTTAGCAAGCCCCTGTCACAAAAATAAAAATAAGATGGCGAAGGGCGTAGCGCAGTGGGACAGCGCTGGCCCAGTATGCTCTCGGTCCTGGGTCCACCCCACACTGCCAGTGAGACACGCAGTGCTCCTGATGCGCACTGCCCCAGCCCCAGCCAGCCGGCAAAGGGCACACACAGGCCAGCCCACCGGCCACATGCCACTCCACAGACGCATGCCCCCTAGTTCACGGCTCAGTCGTCACAGTAGGCACAGCACTGCAAAGCCCATACACTTGACATTTCTCCTCCCTGCCTGTTTGATAACAGGAAACTGCCCACTTAGTCAATAAATCTGCAGAAAGCACAAGCTCCAAATTCACTCTCTCCATGATTTAACCCTTCTCTCCTTTACAGATTTCTCTTACCATTCTGAGTGATGCCGAATGTCAAAAATGAATTAAGTGCTGCTCCGGGTTTGAGGCAGACCTAAAGAGTATGGAGGTCATGTACAGCAGTTCACACTGTGGACTGCACAACTCAAGATGGTGCCATTCACAAAGCCCACCGTGTGATTGGTGCCATTTGGAGCTGTCTGGTATGATGGCTCTGGTAAGAAAGCTCCTATCTCTTCTCTGCTGTGGCAAAACCAAAATAAGTGTATGCCCAAAGGCCTCAACCCCTTGTTCCCCTGCTTCCACAAAGGGTCAAGGCCAAGCACAGCTGTCCTCCAAACTCAGCGTGGCATCAGGCTGTGCACTTGGAGCCCTCGACACTGGGTATCTGGGGCCGGTGGGACCTGGCTGTGACCCCAGTGAGCCACTCTTCCTGCCGCCGGCTCTGCCCCACCTCTCTGCTTACCATCTGGGTCCTGTGCTACAGAGATCAACCTCACCTCTGTGTCCCACGGCTACAGCACACGGCCAGCAAGGCGAAAGCCCTACTGCCCAGCCCTGCCAGCATGAGTCGGCCAGGCCCAGGTCTCCTTGGCCCAGCCCTTGGCTCTAGCTGGGGACCACCCCTTCCCCGGGCAACCCAGAAGAACTCCAGGGCCATTCCCCAGGTGACAGAGACTGGCACACGAGGGAGGCAAGGCAGGCTGGTGGGAGTCCTGGTTGCCTCTGGGGCCTTTTGCTATGAAGATTAGAGAACATGAGTCTAATACAGTGCTACATACGGAGACAGCAGCTTGAGAATGAGGCCCATTCAGAAGACACAGGAGAAGGGCCAAGGAGCCAAGTGGATCCACTACCTGCCTCACAAGCACAAGGATCAGAGTTTGATCCTCAGTACCAAAAAAAAAAAAAAAGAAAGAAAGAGGAAGTCACCTACAGTAAAATGGTGCTGGGAGACAAGAAAGATGATGGCCAGCCATGCCCGAAAGCCATTGTCCCTGGACTTTCCCCTAACAAACAAGGCCTTGTGCTGGGTCGTCATACGCAGCGTGCAGGGTGTGAACGACAACTCTGGGACAAAGGGGTTTCCACACTGGCCTAAACTCCTCCTACACAGAACTTAAAGCCCCTGAACATGGTAATGGGACCCTATGCAGCGTTGTATAAACCAAGGTGCCTACCACACAGTGTGCACTCAGGAAATAACTACCCAAGAAACTGAGAGTGACTTGATAGCTGGATGAGCAGCCCTTACGGGATCAATTTCAGCCCAGAGGTTAGTTGGTTTTGTAGTTCTGTTTTGTTTTCAGTAATGAGTATGGAAACTAGCAAGTACTGAGTCACATCCCCAGGCCTTTTTATTTTTAGTTTGAGACAGGGTCTCACTACCTGCTCAGGCTGTCCTTGCACATGAGATCTGCCTGCCTCTGCCTCCTGAGTGCCTGGTATTACAGATATGCATTACCACACCTAGCTTAGTCTAGTTTGTACGGTCTTACTATGTAGTCCAGGCTGGCTTCGAACTTGCTATGTCGTCCATCCAGGCTAGCCTCAAACTCATGATTATCCGGCCTCACCCTCCCAAGTGCTAGGATTATGGGTGTGTGCTACTTCTGCTTTTTAAGGAATAAGACAAAGCTGCTTGCCTGCAGACTTGGCATTCTTGTGACACCAGGTAGACTGAGCCACACGCTGCCACACAGGCCAAAGGAAAGTGGGAATGATCTCAGCTACTGAGTTGCTTTCACCCAAATCCCAGGTCTATGCACACCTGTGCAATTCAGGCTACAACCTGTGGTCACGGAAGGGTTCCTTAGCATTGCCTTCCATCAGCTGAGGGCAGTGGTGGCAAACCTATGGTACGTGCATCACAGCAGGCTGTTTGTATCATGGAAAGCTCTAAAAAGTTCACCACCTCTGGCTTAGGGACACTGGTAACACCCATAAATGACAGCAATGAGCACTCCCAGGGCTCTCACTAGAGTGCTACGATCCTTATGTCCAGATCTCTTCTACTCTTAATTACGGCCCTAGAAACTCTTTTACTATTGCCACTTCCCAGATGAGAAAACTGAGACCAAAACAAGGTGAAAGGACCCTTACATTTATGATCAACAACAAGGTGTCAAACATTCCTAGGTAGCTTCCCATAGGCAAACTCACCCCCCCCCACACAACCCTATGAGATAAACAGTATTCTTTTAGGGTCCCATTTTACAGATGGGGAATCAAAGCACAGAGCGACCAAACAACCTGCCCAAGGTCAGAGAACTAGAAAACCATAGAAGAAATAGAACCTGAATGCTTTAGGGATCTCAGCCCAAGGGCTTAGCTGAGACAGTACCGGGTGGCCGTCCAGGGGCTCCGACTGGGTGCCCAGGCTCTGCTCTTTCTGCCCCCCCACAGCTGTACCCTGAGGGGCTGTACCTGACAGGCCTTTCCCAGCCCTGGCCTCCCTGCCTCTCCAGCCATGGAGAGATGGACCAGAAGCCAAGCAGCTTCAAAACTGTGTTCCCAAAATATCCAAGCAACTGGCAGATGGAGATGCTGTATGCAGGCGAGGGAGGAGAGAGGATTAGAAATAAAATGAAAGATACCAGAGAGAACATAAACAGTGCTGGAGTACAGGCTGGGGCTTGGAGGGGCTTTCCTTCTTCCCCCTGTTTCAAGTTCTCCATCAAACTAGCAAAAGGGCCCTTGCTTGTTCAATCTAGCCACCCGTGCCTGCAACTCATATTTACTGAGCATCTACTAGGTGCCAGCCCTGGGCCAGGTGTTAAGACAACTTGGCACACAGACTGGAATGGAAACGCAGAAGAATGTGGTCATCCTTTGAAGAATGCAACATGCACTAATCCCTTTTCCCACTTGGAATGACACTCAATGTGACTGAGGCCCCACTAAAACCAGCCGAACTAAAGACACCTCCAGCCCCCGCCCTGCCAGCTGGTCTCGCCAGCTTGGCAAATAAAACAAGGGGTCAGAAACACCCCCATCTCCAGCCAAGATGTCCATGGGAACTCAGCCTTCCCTCTCACACCCCTAAAACCTGAGACAGAGACAGACAGACAGACAGACAGACAGACAGACAGAGAGAGGCTTGTGATGTTGACTTCAAAGCAGTTTTACTCACAGCCAGGGAGGAGTCTGGGCCGGGAAAGGTCCCAGAATTTCAACTTCATCCTCGCTGGACTGGCAACAGCTGGACTCGTAGCACTTCTGACAGCAATGCCGGCAGGTCCATCTGCACAGCAGCAGGTCAGAGATTCTAGAAAGAAAACCCTGAGGCCATGCGGGGAGGGGGTCAGGGGAGCGGGTGGAGGGAGGGAGGCAGGGAGGGTGGAGAGGAGGAAGAGGAGGAAGAGGAGAAACGACACCCCAAATTACAAGCAGCCCAGTCCTGAGAGAAACAAAGACGTTCGGGAATTCTGTCTCCACCGCTAGCATTCAGAACAAAATGTTTCCGTTCCTATTTACCAACCGCAGGCACAGATTGGCAAACATCAACTCGCAGCCATTCAGAGCAAGCAAAACATTTGCAGGTATTTTCTTTTGTAGTTTATGCAAACGTCTTTCTTGACATTTGGGTGTTTTATACATCAGGGCCAGACAATATGTTCTTGAAACACAATGAATATTACTCTCTTCTTGCAAGCAAAGAAAAAATATTTAAAAATAGTCATCTCAGGGAAAGTGTACGGAGAGAGTTAACGGAATGACTAGGGGGCCACCTGTCTCACCAATTCGTGTCCTTTCACTGGGATCTCCTTTCTACAAAGAGAGATAAAACTGTGCCCTTATCATCTGGTGATCGATTTAGACTCAATATCCCCACAGCCCCACATAAGCCTCCAACATGAAAGGCAAACATTTCTTGATTAGAAACCAGAGCACACACATCATTAAATTAACCCACCTCGTTTAGTGGTTCCAACTGCCCTTTTAGAGATCCACGATGAAGCCAGGGGGCAGAAAGGGGTGAAGGGGTTACAGAGAGAGAGAGACAAGACCAGTTTAGCAATATTCCAGCAACTTGAAAAGGAAAACAAACAAACAGAAGCACCCTGCATCCTTCCACTTACCATCCTGAGGAGGGAGCTGACTTGCTAACAAGGTATTGCTATTCTCAGGGCTGCTGGTAGCCTTCTGGTTAACCAACACCGAATGAATGGGCAACTTTAGCATTTCGATCTGATTTGCACCGTATGCTGTTATGAATCAGAGCGGGTGGATAGATAGTCATGCTATCCAATGCAGCCACACTTCAGGGGAATCGTAAACCTTCCTATACAGAAATAGCCATGAAGCCAACCCAACAGGACCTGATTAGCTAACAAGCACAGCGTGGCTGTCACTGGGCTCCCCCGCCCTCCCGGAAGCCCTACCTTCCAATTCCGCTCCAATGGTGACGGTGGGGAGTTGCATATGACCACCTACTAACGGGGGGAATCAGCCAGGAAGCCATGAGCTGGTCCTCAGGGGGAGGGGGAGTCCCCCCCTCTTTTGGCCCCACCCCCTCATCCCCATGTTCTTCTTCCAGATAGATGGCTTTCCCCTTGGGCAAGAGAGTCAGGTAGGTTAAGAGTTCTGTGTTCATCCCAGAGATGAACCCAGTTGGGACCCAAACTCAGAACTTTGAAATCAAGGGGACCATGTTCATTGTCTTTCTCAGTTATTTCTCTTGCAAGAAAGAGAAAGTGTCAGTTTGGTCTCATCCCTCACCCTTGACCCCACACTTCCTTTGAAACAAAACAAGCAGACCCCAGCTTGGACACAACGCTACCCAGCCCAAGGTTAATAACATGGCTCTGTTCCCCTTGTGTTTATTTTCCCAATTGCCTTCTGCATACAACATGTGATCTGGTTTCCTGTTACTGCCATAAAGTTTACTCTTTTCATGTGATTTCAAGTTTTAAAAAAGTCCATTTATAGTAAAAATATTGCAAGTGATATGTGGCTGGTGAAAAATTCACAACCCTTGAGGTGGTAAAGGAGTAACTGCAGCTTGGGAGACAAAGACGCTAATCCCAAACTCCTCCAAACCAAACTCAACCCATACACTGCACAAGGTCTGCAGGTGCTGAAGGACACACAGAGCCAAGCAGAGAAGTCCTAGTCCTGGTCTCACCTCACCCACCCATCATATGCGCTGACGAGTCAGGCGCCTCTCTGAGCCTGTTTCGTCTTCTCTTTGGTAGGGGAGCGTGCCTCTCCATAAAGGGAGGCTGCTGGGATGAGAGTGGAGTCCGACCAGGAAACGCTTGGCCGCCGTACAGCTGCAAAGTAAACACAGCCCTTCTGTGGCGCAGGAGAACAAGGTGGCTGTCGAGGCCCACTGGACGCTAGCAGGCACCAGGCACTGTCCCGGCAGATACTGCAGTGCAGTCAGCAAAGAGCTACGCCTTCGTGGCGCTCGCCTGAGACAGGGCTTCAAGTTCGGAATAAAGTGGCATGGCACTTGTCTACAACAACCCGTTCCCGTGCTCTCAATGTAGGGGAGTGTTTTGGAGGTACAGGACAATCCAAAGAGAACCACCTATAAAACCACAACAGGCAGAGACAGGCCCACCACAGGGGCCCCGGAAGATGTGCGACTTTGTCAGGGCCCAGGCACAAGATGAGTGTCTGGGAGCAAAGAGAGAGCAAGGAAGGGGTCCAGGCAGATGCCCCAAGGTCCCCAGGTCTGCTGAGGCCCTCCTAACTTTGCCCCTCACAGGAGAACTGATGGAGGCCAGGAAGCGGGAGAACGGAGAGCCCAGATACCCTAACAGTAGCTGCATGCTCAGCCCAAATCCAGCTCCAAGCCTGTTTCTACACAGCCCTTGAGCTAAGAATGTAGGTAGGTTTTTAAACGGTTGGGAACAATAAAATGACTATTATTTCTCGACTTGTGCAAAGTATATAAAATTCAAATTTCAGTACTGAGGATCCATGCTCCGCAAATGCTCTGTCACTGAGCTGTACCCCAGGCCCTAGGAATAAAGTTTTATTAGAACACAGCCACGCCCATTCATTTACTATCATCCATGGCTGCTTCAGCAGCACACTCAAAGTTGAATTGTGACAGGCAGAGCCTCTGTGAGTCTCAGAGAAAAGTATTTATTATCTGGCACTTTACAGAGAAAGTTCAGCAATATCACTGGCCAGCCTTACAGAGATGCTGAACACATGCCCCAGAGCCCCCTTCACCATGCTGCAGTTTAGATCCCACCTGACCCTTAAGAGACTCTGGACTTGGGCAAGTCACTTAATTTCTCCGTGCTGCAAGCCGTCACTAAGGATCACAGAAACAGGGTGCAAGGTCCGTGTCTCACTAGATGGCGCATTCATGCAGAGGGGCAGAGACTGTGCCACTGTACACCTAGTCCAGATGCACAGTTGGTGGTTATTTGTCTGATGACTGCTGAATGGTGCCCCAGTAACATCCGGGTCACAGCCAGGTGCACAGTACATGTGACCTTCACCGAACCTGAAATGAGGACTTAGGGATTCCAGGAAAAGGGAGCCAATCCAGTAAGCCACGAGAGGTGTGGGGGAGCCTCCACCAGGTGACAGACCATAGAGTCCTGGAGGGCTGAGTCTGAGGACAACATGAAGGGATGTGCGAGCCCGAGAACTAGGGGGTCAGCAGTCCCCCCGCTGAGACTGGGGGCACAGGCTGTGAGCCCCTGTCCGCAGGAGCCTGTTGGCTTCGGGCTCAGAGGTGCCAGCCCCAGGAACAAGCAGCTCAGTGGATGTGACTGCGGGTCTGGATGTGTGACCTTGACGCTGACCTGTCGCCGCTTCCCTCCTAGCAGCCAAAAAGGTCTTTTAGCCAAGCAGCCCAGCCCATGAACAAACAAGCCCCTCAAAAAAACAGGTCTCGGAAATAATTTCAGCCCAAGGATTCTAGGGGGAGCTTCTTCAAGGCGAAGAAGGAGTCCACAACTCCCAGACCCCAATGCAACGGGCTAAAGTAACCCGCTCCTACCCTCACCAGTGCGCTCCGGCCTCTGCGCGTCCCCCACCCTCGACACTCAGGGCCCGGGAGGGACGCCGTCGTCCTTGTCCCTCCTGGCCGGAACAGCTGCCTCCAGCTCGCTCCGCTGGCCCGTTAGCCCGAGCTGTCACCACGGCAACGGCAGCTGGTGGGCCGCGGCTGGCGCGCCCCGGCTGGGCCCCTCCCCTGGGGTGGGGTGCCGGGGAAGGCCGGGGAGAGAAAGAGGGAGGGGCGGGCAGGGGCCAGAAAAGTCCGCCTCGCCCCTTCCCTGCGGAGAGGCGGGGGCGCGTGCAGAGCCCACACGGCCGTCCTTCCCGGGGCCCCAGGGTCCCTGCCTCTCCTCCTGGGGCGCAGCGCCGCCGCGGCACAGGTTGCCGCTCCGCACCCTTTTTCTCCGGGCAAGTTTGTGGGAGCCCGGCCCGCGCCCGCCGCGGCCCTACCTGGATGTACGCCATTTTCGCCCGCGCTCACTCCGGCCCGGGCATGGCGCCGCCGCCGCCACTCTGCCCTCGCCAACGGGAGGGGAGAGCCGGGGAAAGGAGAAAAGAGGCGGCCGGGTGGCCCCAGACGTGACTGGCGTGGCTGATGCGCCGCGCCCGCCCCTCCGCCGGCCGCCCCGTCCTTGCCTTCGCCCGCGTCCGGGCTCCAGGCGCCGGGGCCGCCTCCCCGCTTGGCAGAGCTCTCGCGCCCGGGGCCCCTGCCTCGGCCTCCCTCGCTGTCCCGCGCCCCCGGCCCTGAGGCGCTGCCCGGGCCGGAATGAGGCTGGGGCGCCTGGGCAGGGAAGCCCGGGGCAGCCGCGGGAGCTGCAGCGACCCCGGGCGCAGGCGAGGCCGGACACGCCGGGCGGGCGCGGGGGCGGGGGAGGGGCCGGGGCCCCGGGCGCGGGCGGGCGGGGTAGGTGCACGGGTCAGCCGGGCCGCGGGCACCCGCGCGGCGCCTCCCGAGAGCCGGGCCCTGGGCCGGCCGTGCAGCCGAGGGGCACAGCGCAGCCCAGCATCGGGTCTGAGCCGGGAGGGTCCTCCGCCTGCGGCCCTCTCCCCAGTCCGCTTGGAAAAACTTTATTCCTGCCCCACCCGACGCGCCTAGAAAGGTTGCGGTGAAGTCGACGGAGCTAAGCGAATGGGAAACCCGAGTTAAGGGGGGCCTGGGGCGCCGGAGAGAGTCGCTGCAGCCCGGTGCAGCAAAGGGCGTGGAGAGAGCCGAGCGCCCCTTGACCCTAAACCTGCTCCAGTTGCGCCCCGGACGCAACAGGTCTAGCGCGGGGCGGCCCCGCAGCGCCACCCAGCGGCGTACCCGGACTCGTGCGCGCCTCTGCCTGCGGGCAACCGGGCTCGCGCCTGGCCTGCAGCGTGCACCCTGGGGCGTGTCCACCTCCCCGTGCTGCTTGGCTGGGACGCCCTGAACCCCAAGGCCTCCACCAAATCTCCAAATCTCCCAGCCCAGGGCCTGCCAGCCCAAGGCCAGCGAGCCTGGTGCGGCTCTCCACGGAGGAATGGGAACATTGCCTTTTCAAATGCCCCGCTGTCTCCGGTTGCTAGTCACCAGCTTTATCAGGTGTAATTTTAACCTCCCACCACCTCTTGTATTTTCATCAGTAAAAATGGGACAGAGTGTCTGCCCTGTAGGAAACAAAAGAGAAAATGAATGCGGAGGTGATAAAGCATGTATTGTATATATGTACCTTTCTTCTGGGTGAAAATCTAGCACATGTATACATTTTTGAGTATGGTATATTTAATTTGCAGCACAGCATGTAACATGTTAAGCACTTACAATGGGACAGGCATGAGCCCAGCAGCTCACTGGCATTATCACGCCATTCTCCTGTGCCTTGGTCACTCCAGTATCTCTAGACAGAGCCTGAGCAGACTACCCCTCAGCAAAAGCTTTTGTTGCTGCTATTGACTGTTCACTCCATGGGGGGGTGCAGGTTATCCCCAAATTGCAGAGCAGAGCGTGAGGTGCAGAAAGGGAAAGCCCTTCTGCCAAGGCAGGACTGCTGGTGGCAGACCCTGGCCTTTCAACCCTAACCACCTCACCATGTTTATCCTCAGTGTTTCTCTAGCATTGCTGGGAAGGGGCGCTTGGTGGGAAGTGGATTCACCGGAGTGGATGGTGGTTGTGGGGACCCCAGGGAGGTGGAGGAGTTTGCTAGGTGTTTCCATGAACCATAATAGTTAACCTTTTATAAGATGCGCTGTTTTCAGCCCTTTACAGAAAGTCATTCTTTCCATTCTCTGATAATCATGAGGTACCAACCCATTTCAGATGAGAACAGAGGCATATAGAGGTGAAGTAATTTGCCCAGGCTGCACACAGCTTACAGATGCTGGGATTCAAACCAGGGAACCTCAGCCTGAAACTTCCTTCTGGCCACTGCGTGGAGCTGCCCCCTAATGCCAGATTTAGGGGAAGGGCCATGAACCCCTTAGGGTCAGTTTGGTACCTTAATCTCTTAAGACCTGAAAATGTCTGAGGATCTAAGCACCTTCTCCTGAGGGAAGAGGTTCTTTAACCTCAGGGACACTAGCACCTACCTCCTCCAGTGTTATCAAATGGGCCTAGAACGATAGGTGTTTAAATAATGCTTGCTGAGTGGACTGGTAATAATGGGATAGTTCCAACTCTCAAGACAAGTGGCTATTATGATCTAGGAGCTAAACTGGGATTCTCTGCAGGTGAGGGAGCTGAAGTTGGAAGGTGGGAGGCAAAATGAGTTGCTTGAAGCACAGGATACAAAGACAAGTCTGCTTAGCAATCAAGGCCCAGCTCTTCCTGGCTGTAGCATCCTAGGTGAGAAAGTGCCCGGAGAATTAGCTCCAGACCGTCATCAGGGCAGTGTCAGAGGTCACTCAGACCGGTTCCAGGGTCCCATTGCTCTTCCATTGTCTCCCTGCTCTTCACAGGGCCATGCAGTCTGGCTTTAAGGTATCACCTAGACACTGGCAAGGCCAGTTTGGACAAGGCAGCTGGCGCCTCTGCAGACCTGGGTGGAGGAGCACCCACTCCAGGAGACAGACGAATACATGGAATCTCATGTGACCTGTGTGACAAAGGGAGACCCAGGGTGCCCGAGGGCTGCAGAAGCAGAGCCCCACCTAGTGTAATAAGGGCCAGAAAAGGCTTCTGGGGGACCTGTCATTCAGCTGAGTAGGTACCAAAGAAGCCAAGATGGGGAGATTCTTCTAGAGGCCAGTGGTGGTTAATTTGGGGGAGCCCATGGATAGATCTATGAACTGTGGTATCCATGAACTCAGGAAAAAAGTTACATCTCCATCGTCACTAGCCTCCTCCCAAAATGTGGTATTTCCTTCCATTACAAATACAGGCAACAAATTGAAGCAATATTAGTATCCCCCAACCCCGCCTTTGTCACCAATAGAAAACATGTAGGTCCACATCACATTACAGTTGTTGCAAATAAGTTGAAATTTCATTTATAGTCTTACTGCTTGAAAATTAGAATAGTTACTAGGCCCACTGCTAGCTCTTTTATTTACTGCATTAATAAAGAAGTACATATATTATGAGATTTAAATTTTTGCTGAAATGTTTTGATACCTGTATATCCAAGCAACCCTCATTTCATTATCATCCTGTATGTTCTAGTCTGTGATTTTAAAAACATTATTCTGGGATCTATAGGCTTCAACAGACCACTCAGGGCCTCCTGGCTCAGGAAGGATTAAGACCTCTGAAGGAAGCAGTTCTCTTAGCTTGAGGGGAGAGCGGGACTAATTCTCAGGCAGGCAAGTTCAACAGATAGGAAGTGCCAGGCATCAGGCAGCCTCCTGCCCCCTCCCCCCGCAAAGAGCAGGGCAGGTGCACCTCTGTCACTCTGGCTGTCTTTTTTGCATGGAGTACACAAACCAGAGGCAGGGAGGCCAGTGAGGGACTGTTGCACCCATCCAGGTAAGAAATGATGCAGGTCTGGACACTAAGGTGGGTAGTGCAGGTAAGTGCACTAAGGAGTGAGCAGAGGTGAGGCTACAGAAGGCAGAGGAGGTGTAAGAGGGCAGGTTTGGTGGGGCGGGGAGGAGGGAAGATAGAAGGAATAAAGAGAGGTACAAAGAAGACAAAGACGATTGTAATAGTAAAATCGTACATTTTGTCCTTCAGCTTCAGGACAACAAGAAGTTACTCAAGCTTTTTTTACCTTCCAGAAAAAAAATCCTACAGGCTTTAAATATAATATGCCTCTGCACTGGACTAGAGGCCTGGGCCTTTCACCTGTAAATACTTCCTCCTACTAAGCCCAGTCCTCGGGAAGCACACTGTTAAGTGCTCTACTGTTGAACACAGCCCACGGAGTGGGTAAACCCGACAGGCACTGGAGTACACATCTTAGCTCCCTGTTAGAGGGTAGACCTAGAATGCCCCATTTCTGGAAGGTGACTGGATTGTGGGTTGCTGCCTCTTCAGGGGCTTCACCCACTCATGAGTGAGTTCAGTGGCTGAACGTGCTGTGAGGAGCCCCAGCCCGGTTGGAGGTGGGTCATCGCCGGGAGTGTAACCTGGAAGGTGTCTTCCTGTCCCCCACCCCTGCTTCCTGGCTGCCCCCGGATGAGCAGCTTTCCTCCATGCCAGACCCCTGCACCCTGCCCTTCTCCCTGGGAGAAACATGGACTGAAACCTCTGAAAACTGTGAGCCAAAATAAACCTTTCCTCCTTTAAGTTGTGGGTGTTGAGTATTTTTGTCCCATCAATGAGAAAGTGGCTAAGGCATCATTTTAGGGATACCCCTAAGCCCATATGAAAACCCCAATCCCTGACCATAGGGCCCTCCCTCTCATAAGGGCCAGCGATCTATTTCTGAGTGTGTACTTTCAAAATTCTGCCTAATAAACCTCCTTATGCCTCTTACTGACATGTCCTAAAAATAATTTTCCTGTGGCAGAACTCAGCAAACCTGCAATCTGCCCTGTGGGTGGTGTGAGCCCAGGTGCCCGTGTCTGCTTTGTCTCCTCTGACCCTGTGCAATGACAGGAGGCGCAGTTTTGTGTTTGAATATGTTGAGTCTCAGATATGTATTTCCTAAGGTCCCTTAAAGAAACCCAATTTAATCCAGCTTAAGCAAAAGAGAATGTATGGGCTCATTAACTGCTAGGTCCAAGAGTGAATCCTAAAGACGTGGCTGGAATTAGTTGGAGTCATAAAGCCCTCTCTCCATATCTCACCACTTCACAGCTTCCCTAAACATTAGATTGGTTTTTGCCGAGAGTAGATTTGCTACCCGTGGCAGAAAAAAATGGTCTTAAGTTTATATTCTTTTAGTCTGTACATCAAAGGAAGAGAGACTTTATATCAAACTTTATGGAGAACTTCTGGTTGCATGCCTGTTGTGTCCAGAGGACTCAGCAGCTGGCTTGAGGGAGCTTGGAGGCACCAGACATGTCTA